TCAGTATAACATTCCTTCACTGAGAGTTTCAGAGAAGACGAAGTCGTTAACATGACGAGGAAACCCTGACTGCTTTATAACTGTTCTCTCAATACGTATCACATAAGCTCCATTCTTATGCTGATCTTTTTCTTTTGGCAAACTTTCATCACATACTGTTCGCCTCTTTTTGTTCCTCTGTTTGTGCTCCTTTATGATGCTATAATTCTTTCATAGCTCTTCATGTGTTTCCACTTTCTGGCACACTGGAATGACTGCGTTACGTTCGTCACCCCACCGGCTTTGTAGTTATTTTATTTAGCTTTTTTCTTCTTCTTCAGTTGCAAAGTGACCTCATTTCCGTACGTGGATCGCCGAAGCCTCGTCTTATTTCACACACCTCGCTCGCTTTGTCTCTTCCCCCAACGCCAGGAACGTTATCTGCTCCGGTGAAATCCATAAGTGAAGGCTGTCAGAGGAGTGGAGACGGTGGAGTCAGGCGGCTACACGCTGGCGGTTCTGAGTAATGGCCTCCTTCACTGTGTCAATTCTACATTTAGTAGCTGCTATGAGCACAAATATGTGAGACTCATGGGATGGGTTTCCACTGTATTAAGTTATAAACAAAATAAAAATGGACAAATGTAAAGGATGGAGCGAGATGGAAAGCTATTCCAGTTCATCCTGAGGGGAAGTCTGAACCACATTTCATGGCAATCCATCTGATAGTTGTTGAGATGTTTAAATCAGGAACACAGCTGTGACAGATGTAGGTGTCGATAGTGTGGAGCTACTGAAGCGCCGCTAAAAGCCTCACACACTGGAAAATGAGAGAAATCGTGTTTTTCTTTTAATTGAAAAGGTGATGAATCCATTTGTGCTGCTGTCAGAGTAAAGCTCTCTCTCTGAAATACAGCATCTTGTCTGTAAACGCTGTGAAGTTGAGAGAAGATGGAGACAGAAAACAGACAACCTACATTTAAACATTTTGTTTTTCACATGAAGACAACAAAATATATGTGTGTGTACATTTATCGGCCACGTCATCAGGTACGCCGTTTTAACTGCTCATTAATGCAAACATCTCAACAGCTAACCGCATGGCAGCAAGTCAGCGCATTCTGCATTCTGCATTCTGGCATGTGGATGTGGTCAAAGCAGCCGGCTGAAGCTAAAACTGAGCATCACAACGGGGAATAAATGTGATTTAAATGTCTTTAGACACGACATGAGCTGGTCTGACTTTCACACACACCCATCTCTGGATTTACAGAGAACGGTCAGAAAAGATAAAATTTCTCTGGGCCTGGTTGATGCCAGAGGTCAGAGGAGGTCAAACTGGGTCATGATGATAGAAACAGCAGCTCAAATAACACTCGCTACAGCTACGGTATGCAGGAGGCCGTCTCTGAACGCGCAACACGTCGAGCCTCCAAGCACATACTTTACTGGTAAACCAAAGCAAAGCTGCTCTGCTCCTCGGCATCATTTGTCAAATCTGCATGATGCCTTTACCTGTTTTCAGGTTTTCAGAGTTTTTGTTTTTTTTAAGTCCTTCTCATTGAAGTGCTTTTCTGTACAAAGTTGTCGCTCTGTGTTCTTCAAAGCAATTCCCCAAGTTTGCTTTTGTTGCGCTGGTGATCAAACTCGTGCTTTGTTCGTGCTCTATCAGCCAAAAGGTGTTTGTGCTGTCGTATCCTCTACAAGTGTGTTTTTCATTGTGCTTCATCGTGTTCTGAGTCTTTTCATGCTTTTAGAGGAGCTGCTGTGTAGCAGGACACCTGTTTCCAGCCGACAACAAAGCTCATTAGTCACTCCTCAGGGTGGAGACGAAAGGAAGGAGAGAGGAGAGGAACACAAAGAAAACATGCCTGCCATACTTTGCTCTGATGCTATATCTACTGTGTGTGTGTTGTTAACTCTCTCTGAGATTTGTCAGTCAAACCAAGTCCAGTTAGAATCAATGGATCCCCACTGAAACCGACACTCGTACGCTGGTCGGTGGTAATCAGAGATGTGTCTGTTTGCTTCCCTAAAAGATTCTGTCATGCCAACTAAATATCACTGCTTTGTTTAAAAAACAAAAGTGTTTATTAACCTCAGATTAAATGTGGTCCCTGCATGATGGTGATTTATTTTTCCTATTACACACAACCACGCAGGTCTAATAAGCCACGCTTGCAGAGTGCTTAAACAATGGCTCACAGGTGCCATCTTTTGTATTCCTAGTCAGCATTAAGATGTGAGCATGCTGTGCAACTTAAGGATATTATAATAACCTCACAACAGTAGAAATGGATGCCAGATAAGATTAATGCTGCCGTTATGCAAATTACTGCAACACTGTACATGTGAGTATTGCAGTAATCATCCACCTCACTGCCAAGAGCAGAGCATGCAGAGATGATGCAAGAACAGACTGCAGCAGGGAAGCAGCCCCCTGACAGCCCTCTCCACCTCTATCTGTTATGTGCTCGCTGGAGCTGCTCTCCTCGCAGGTGCTGCAGAACTGGGCCTGGCAGACGGAGAGCTACACCGGCTACACTGGGCCGGTATGCCAGTGCTTCTCCTAGTGCGGTCTGTGTGAGCTGAGCTGCTAGTTGCTTCACTCGGTGGTTTGTTTTTGCAGCACAAGACATTCCAGTGCATGCAGCAGCGCTTTTGGACAACAGATAAACATGGACGAGGTGGTCAGTTTGCATCGAAAGCACCAGAAGACCAGACTATCACCCTGCTTATGTACATCATGAACATTTGGTCTTTCTACATTAGCTAGATCCTGACATCTGATCCAGTTTTTGCAGTAACACCTGGTATTAAAATACATTTTTCTTAAGATCATAGAACACCTACAAACACTGTCTGGCTGATCTGACTGCATTCTGATCCCACTGTGTCCTGTGTGTGTACACCTGGCTGGAGCCTATCCCAGCTGACTCAGGGTGAAGGCAGGTTCACCTGGACAGGTAACCAGTCTATCACAGGGCTACACTTAGAGACAGACAACCAAGCACACTCACATTCACACCTACGGACAATTTACAATCACCAATTAACCTCAGCATGTTTCTGGACGGCGACCTTCTAGCTGCGAAGCGACGGTGCTAACCACTGATCCACCTGCAGCCCTCCAGTCTTACCTGAGATGCAGAAAATGCAACAAGATGTACAAGACCCTGACTCATTCTCTGACTTTAAGTACTGACTCAGCAGCCCCAACATCTGGTGGAATCTGGTGGAGCAAGAAACACGATACTCAATGTAGTACCAACCAATACAGGTACAGAGACTGACACCAGGAGGGAACAAGTCATCTACACTTTTAACGCACAAGGCTGTTTGATATACAAAACAAACATGCATTTGCTTCCTGCTGAGTGAAGTCTGCCTTCAGTCACAGTGTGCCTACGTCATAATGAACCCATGTGCAGGATGACTTGTCTTTGACTGACTGGGAATCTAGACATTCTGTGTTGTAGTTCAGATATAAGAACTGCCTACGTTGTATTTTCCTGCACCGGTACCGTTCTGCCAAGGCAGCAGTGCAACCCAGATGCAGCTAATGCATCACAAAACAAGGCCTGCAAAAACACCTCAGCTAACAGGCGCACGCATCATTTTGAAATCAATTTAACACTGAGCTACAGAGAACCGAGCCAGGAGAGGAACATGACTTGAATTTGCAGAATAAGAACTGATAATGACCAATGCAGCTGTCTGACTTCTGCAGGTGAGTCTAGTGTAGCGTGCACGATTTGATTTCATCACCACGTGTGAATAAACACTTCTCATTAAAAGGCAATATGGTGGAGGAGAAAACTTGAAAGTACGACGCTTCGAGCGGCCCGGCCTTATCTGGCATGTCACACTTCATAAGAAATTCATGCCCTCATGCTGCCTTTCTTGCAACCCGCTGATGTGAACACAGTAGCTGCAGGCCCCTGTTCTTGAAAGAAAATAATTGTGGCGTGCATTGACGATTGAAGCCTGGGCAGCTCTACAGAGATACGCTGCGTTCTCTCCAGACGCCGGAGTCGCAAGGTCGCATCAAGGAGCATACAGGATGCTGTGTTTTAATATGGGTTTGTTGCTCCTCCCCCTCGTTATGTGGGTCGTTAGTGCTCCCCCTGACACAATGTGGTTCGTTAGGGTCTCTGTGGCTAGGTGTGGATGTGGTTTCGTCTTCCTGGGGAGAGTTCTTAGGACTGAACTGTAAACAGGTGAGAGGTGATGCCTCAGACCTCCACCTCTGTTGAGGGATGGTCTTTCCAACAGACATGTAGGAGGTGCTGGAGGGAGGTGGGGTAGTGAAGAGTAGAGAGTGAAGGATTAGTCCTCTCCCCTTGTCTCTTTCATCATTTTCTTTGTTCTCTCAGTCCTCCTCCCCTCTTTCTTCCCCTTCTTCAGCTTCCTTTTTGTGCTATTTGTTTTACCTCTTGTCTCGTCTCGGCCCTCTGTTGTCACTTTCTAAGCCAGCCCCTGCAGCTTAGCATTTTTCAGGATCAGTATTTTGATGTCCTCCATTTTGCTCACCTTGTTGAGTCACTCCTCCGTTGCAGGCCATCTTTGTCCTAATTGCTTTGTTTACTTAAAGCTGTCCTCCATTGCTAGTGGCTCACATCCCCACAGCATTACAGGTTTTACATAAATAAAACTTGCTATGAACCATGTGATGATATATCAATGTTCAAAGAAAAATAAAACTAAGAATCATACAGCTACATGCTGGACGTGACCTTCTCCTCCTGGGTGACAGATGAAAGTGTCTCATTTACTTCAAGCAACAGACTTTTGTTAAAAGATCACAAAAGCAAAAGGGGCGCTGCTATAGCTCACCTGGTTGAGCTGATGTCTCATGTACAGGGGCTATAGTCCCCGATGCAGAGGTCATGAGTTTGAATCCCGCTCATGGCCTTTTTCTGCAGGTCCCTCCCCCATTCTTGTCCCCACTTCCTGTCTCTCTCTCTACTGCACGATCAAATAAAGGCAAAAAAGACCAAAAAATAAGCAAAATAAATTTTCCCTGACTGTCTGTCTGGACTGAACCAGTGATTTCCTTCTCTCATAAAAGAGCCTTTTCAAAACAAAGACATCTGTAACATCAAATAAATGGGTTGTGGTGCTCAGGAGGAAAGACCAGGGTTGGGATGACTAGAGAGCCCAAACTCTTTATAAACATTTAGCATAAAACCCAGTCATCTGTTGAGCTGATAAAGTCATTTAGTTAAACAGTAAAAGCAAACATGCGAGGACAAAACCAAACATCTTGACACCGTGATGCAGTCACGTTGAGACCTTAAACAACACAAATCTGTTTGCTGTCTCCTCGAAGGAACATGGTACATGCATGCTTTGTCTTCTATCATGTAATCAAAGCATTAGCGTTCTAATCCAGACTAATTGGCTCCTCACCCCTCCCAGGAAAAAACAAAAGCCAACATCTGCTCTGCCTTCGCTGGGTGTTATCACAGTCCATCCAGTCCTCCCATGCAGCTCTAATCCTTTACTACGAAATACCAGAAATATCAGAATATTGATTTATGAGGGGTGTAGACATTCCGTCATCTATTGGTTGTCAACTCAATAATAAAGGCGTGTGATGCCCAATAAGTCCTCTGCTGTGCTGACAAGATGGACAGAACGGAAAAATGTATGTTTTTACAGAGACATTTACTAAACTGATCAGTATCGTTTGGTCTTAGGTCATACTAGTACAAATAAGCTAAACACACAGCAGAACAAATTCCTGTACGCTCTGCTGTATGTCAGGGTGTTCATGCCTCCTAAAAAGTACACAGGTTGCGCCCTCCAGTGGTGAAACCCTGAACAACAGCTTAGTATCATGGTGATAGTCGTACACTGTACAACGCAAAAAAAACAAAAAAAACACTGTCTATGGTAGTTTCTGTGAAACACTGCGTAGAATAAATATGTGTTTACGTGTGTATGTACATGTTTGTCCATGAATTTATGTTAAATCCCACAAAGAATGAAATATATTAATAATATAACAATAATAATAATAATTGATCAGATTTATATAGCGCTTTTCTGGACACTCAAAGACGCTTTACACTGTCAATTATTCATTCACACACATTCGTCCTGGTGGTGGTAGCTACAATTGTAGCCACAGCTGCCCTGGGGCAGACTGACAGA